AATAATAAAATAAATTCAAATGAAAATTATTAATAACAATAGTTTTAAAAATCAAATCTATACATACCAATATACTATAAGATATAATATTAAATTCTACACAGAAACAACTTTTAGTGGAAGCAAGTCACAAACTAAAACTCAATTATACTGGAGATTTTTAACATATTACTACTCTCAAGCCTTCAGATTGAAAAGAGAACAGAAAGTATTAAAAGATTTGAATAATACAATTCATTAGTTTGATTTGATAAATATATTTCTATTTTTTCCTCTATGATCAAAGAATATACTTTGTTTCTAAAATCCAGAACATTTTGACAAACTGATTATGTCTTTGGCTCAAAAAACTTTTAATAAATTCCAAAAAGTATAAATTGAATAGGTTACATCCTGTAGTTATAAATGTGATTACCTAAAACTTAAAAGACAACTTTAATTTAAAATTTTCAAACACTAGGAAATTTTAAAACATTCTCTTTCTAGAATTAATAGGCATTTTGATTCAAATAGAAAAAGGAGAATGCATTTGCAAACAACTAGGAAAACATCAGTGGTGCTACAGCATGTCAAAGCATATGAGTCAAGATCTGTACATTGGAGCAAATTAATGTTTCATTACTAAGCTAGAGAATATAGTACAAGCCAACAAATCACAGAAGAAGATTTTTTAAAGTATGTCTTAGAAAATGGAAAGAAAAAAATGACATTAAAACCAGAAATTAATCACATAGGCAGCAGGAAAACAGAATTCAAAAACCATTTCTTTTAAAAATCCAATGAAATAATGACCTGACAAGTATAATGTACAAAAAAAGAGACAAATCTAATATACCAAATTAGAGAAGAGAAAACTAACATAATAATAAATACCAAGCTTAGATGTTCTATATTTATAAAACCAAGAAGATTTTCGAGGAATAAAATACAAATTCTCAAAGTTCAATTGGTAAGCAGATATTTTTTAAAAACTAAAATGGCCAAACAAAAGTATTTCAAAGTATAACTTCTCAAAAACGTTATGTACATTCTTTCAAATATACAAGGAACAGATAATTCCTATACTATAAAAACTTCCAAAATATTAAAAAATTAAGTAGTTTTCTAGTTAATATTATAAAACTGCACAATCCTAACACCAGAATCTGACAAAGTTTGTAAAATACAAAAAAGAATGAAATTGCATTTTTCAAATCTATTATATTCAAAATTAGGTTTCAGATTTGTTTTAAAAACTGGATTCAGTGCCAAATAAGTTTGAGATATACACCTATGTAGAAGAGCAACAATTTATACCACCATATTAAAGAGTCTGAGAGACTCTACAGCTATAAAAGTTATCATTAATTCAGCATATTCCAAGATTTCTTGGATTCAAAACTCTTTTTTCATATCACACATATTAATATTCAAATGTGTTAATGTGCCTCTAATGCCTGTTATATGGGTCCTCAATCAATGTTTCAATGTTGTTTGATTTATATGCAGGTCCCTTCTCTCTCTCTCTCTCTCTCTCTCTCTCTCTCTCTCTCTCTCTCTCTCTCTCGCTCTCTCTCTCTCTCTCTCATTTCTTAAAAAATGATGAGCTTTCATAGTGTAGACAGTGGAAAGAATTGATCATAATTATGACCATTCAGGCTTTTTCTAGATCTAGTATGATTACACAGCCGACTAAAAATGTTATTATTCTTGACAATGAAAAAGTAAAGGTACAGCTAACAGAAGGAAGGAGATGGAGTCCTGGAGGGAAGGGAGGGAGCTCAAAGATCTTCATTTTGCAAAGTCAACAAATATATGATACTTTTTATGTTTATTGAACAAAAAATGGTGGTATTGATATGACATTCAAGGAACTTAGACTAGTGAACTCACTGTGTACAGATTACAGGAGAAGAAAGAGGATGTGGAAGTCACATTAGTCCCAGTCAATAGATGCTGCCCAAAGTTGATAAGTCAAGAGTGTGATATGAACATATGTTTAAGGATATGAAAGTGAACATCAGAAAAAACAAACGAGCCAGGCATAGTGGTTCACACCTCTAGTCTTAGCTACTTGGGAGACTGAGGCAGGAGGATCACTTGAGCCCAGGAATTTGGGCCTGGGCAACATAGTAAGACTCCATTTATATAAAAAACAGAAGGAGGAGAAGAAGGAGAATGAGGGAAAAGGAAGGGGAAGGAGGAGGAGGGAAAGGAAGGGGAGGAGAAGGAGGGGAAGGAGGAGGGGGAGACAGAGAAAGGGAAGAGAAGGAGGGGAAGGAAGAGGGAGAAATAGAGAAGGGGAAGGGGAGGAGGATGAGGAGGAAGGGAAAAAGAGGAGGGGAAGCGGGAGGGAGAGGAAAGTCAGCTGTTCACTGGAGGTGCTAGTCACTGCTACAGGTCAGAGTTATAGAATAAGAAAATAATGTAGCTCACTGAACGTGTGAGATCCCACAAATTGTCTCTAATATTTAGCCTTGGGACTGAGGGAATTTTTTTGAATTTAAAAAATTAACCGTGTGCTTTCCGAGGCATAAAACATCTGTTTACCTCTGGCAGATGTGTTTACTTGTCTAAAATATCAGGTTTTCAATCCTGATTAAATGACACCCTCATATGTTATATAGCTGAGTTTAGTTTCTATAATTCCACTGTCAAATTAATGATTAAGCATAAAAATATGCTTCCTTTTAACTTGCATTCAGTTTTTTATGAAAAAATCATAATTTAATCCTCTTTTATGTCATTTTAGAATTTTGTGTCATTCAAGAGTAAATTATATATGATTCTATTTAGAAATTTACTTGCAAAAAAAGTCAGTTTTCAAGATATTGCAACAAACGCTTAGAAAAATAGAGGATATGGGAGACAGAATGAAGCATTTGAACTTTAATTACATCTCTACAAAGAAAACTCTTGGCAAGTGTACTCACTCATCCATTCAGTAAATATTTCCTATGGGTAATATAGAGATGACAAAAAGTTGTCTGCTAACAAGCTAGCAGGGCAGTCGCAGGTCTTGAAGTAGGCCTACTAGAGACAAAACATTAAGTCTATTTTCATTTTCAAAAATAGAAAAATGTGAAACAATCAAACGTCACCAGTTCAAATAAAATGACAGAGTTACTGTATATTTAAATTCATTTTCTCCTCTCCATTACCAACTTTGCTTTCTGGTTTTGTTTTGTTTTTTGTTTCACTTTTATTTGCAAGACTGATATATACAGGAAAAATTAAAAAGACTGCAAACTAGTTTGTTTTTACCATTTTTTTCCCTTCACTGTTTCAATAAGGCTACTGCATTTTTGAGCTGGGCCTTCTTGTTGGCATTTAGGCTCCAAAAAGCACCTGAGACAGAATCCTTTGTAAGGAGTGTCCTACGGGTATGTTCTGATTATTCTAAAGTTTATTAAGAACCGTGTTGCATTTCCAAGCTTCCACAATTCTGAAGGATTGTCCCTGATCATTTGATTTAAGTTTAAATTGCATGATTGGGGCTTAGCTATTTGAAATATAGTATTTCAAACATAATCAAGAACATCTGAAAAGAATATGCTAAATAAATTATTTGTGAGGTTTACAGTGGTTGTTGATTATCTGCATATTATTAAAATACACAGATGAAGACAACTGATCTAAAGAAATAAAGCAATGCAGAAACATTACAAATAATAGAAACAGTTTATTTAGTGTCACACTATCGGGTCGGGTTGGTGTGGTAGAAAGACTATTTTAGATTTATATCTGGGTTTAATCCTGGCTGTGCCCCGCCAAGGTTAAGCAATTTATCCAACCTCTCTTAACCCTGTCATCATCTGTAAGCTAGAGATTTTGATACTAAGACTGCTATAAAAATTAAGTAATACAATGTATAGAGTGGCTGGAACATAATGGATTCATGGATACCCATTCTAACCTCCTTGGTAAGTAAGGGTCCTACTCCCGTGCATTGGAGAAACTCTGTGGTCTTACACATATTTAATGTTTTGCAGTCTTTCTATTCTAATTCAAATTTTCCTTCTACCTGGTCTTCTCTGGATTACTTTATTCCTATTATAACACCTAACTTTATGATAAACTTTCAGAAATTCAACTTTCAAGCACATTTTAGGAACACATCATGTACGTAAGAAGGGAGCTGCTTACATACATTAAAATATAATCATACTGTATTTAGAAATGTCTTTAATTCAGTGAATTAATAGAAGAACAATAAAGTATGTTAATATTAATTTTGTTACTTTTCAACTATGGTTACTAATAGTTTCACACAAAAAGCATGTGTAAATGAAAAGTGGAAGAGCTAATAATCCAAAATTCGAATCCCCCAAATTATTTGTCACTCTACATTTTTATATCAATAATTATATTTCAAAGAAAAGGATGACCTTAAAATGAAAGCTTCCTCCATGTTCTGGCTCTATCCTAAAATCATCATTAAGCTATTACTTGAAGGAGCCCTCACCAAGGAGGTGTGATTTAATATTTTACCGATATTTTCTTACTCTAGACATATAAGTCAGTTTAAAAATCATATTGAACCAGTGCAGTGGCTCAGACCTGTAATCCCAGCACTTTGGGAGGCTGTGACAAGCAAATTGCTTGAGCCCAGGAGTTCATGGCCAGCCTGGGCAACATAGAGAAACCTCATCTCTAGAAAAAAATAAAAAAGAATTAGCCGGGCGTGGTGGTACCTGCCTGTAGTCCCAGCTATGCAGGATACTGAGATGGGAGGATTTCCTGAATCTAGGAGATCCAGGCTGTATTGAGCTGTGATCATCATGACCATGCCACTCTACACTCCAGTCTGGGCATCAGAATGAAACACTGACCCCTCCAAAAAAAACCTTTAAATAAACCATGTATAAGGTAATAGGAACAATTGTTCTACCAGGAATATAATTTAGCTTTATCTGCATTTTTGTTATATTTAATGATATTTGTTTTCAGGTATATTATCTAATACCTAGGGTCAAAAACAAACTAGAAATCTTTCAAAAGACAAAGAAATTACACATTTAGAACCCCTTTGATTAATTTGTTTTTGTTTGAAAAATGCCTACCAATTAGAAAACACTACTTTGAGTCAGCATTTTTTCTAAAGTTGTGTTTCTTTGCCTGGCCAGTAGTTGGGCTGTAGCAAATGATCACTTGTAGTATAATTTTCTTTCCGAAATCTCGTAGCCACCATTGTTCTTTCTCTCTTGGTTATCAGGCTTCTGTGTTTTGAAATATAATTTTTCTTTAAAATGAAAAGTACTGCAATGCTTAGGAAAATGGATGCTGTGCCCAGTATCACAGTTAGTCCCAGATATATGTGTCTAAAAGAAGAGAGAATCTTAGTCATAATTATTACAACTACCCAACCTGAAATAAAATGTAAAAGAAAGATAGTAAATATTATTGTTATGGTTTTCTTTAAGAATGCAGCTTTGGTGGCTATAAAAGTCCCTTCTATGAACACTGGTTCTTACTGAAAGCAGTTTACTAATATAAAACAATTTAATAGTAGCAGCATCATTTTCAGTAACTACTAATTACATAATAAGTTCCATCCTTTCTGTAAATTGTTCCCTTAATTCAAGTGACCGTATCCCTGTTTGCCTAGAACAGTTCCAGTTTATGCTAGTGTTGGTCCAGTGTAATTTTAATAGTAGCCCTTTTTACTCTCAAAAGTACCCAGGTTTGAATGAAAAATTATGCAATTACCCTCTCCTCAGTCCTTTCCCAAATTCATTTCTAATGAAAAATTGTATAAAGCAATGCTAAGGGGAATTGGCACTCTCAGTAAAGCAGAATAATTTAAGAATAAACTAGAAGTTGAAATCGGTTTCTTCCATAAGAAGCCTATAGTTCTACACTCTGTCAGAAGACACTAAGGTATGGAAAGGTCAAATGTTTCATTCTGGTTACCTTGAAAGCACACTCTCAGTATCTGATGAATTACATTGTGTCTACATTAAAATGAATAAAGCCTTAGGAAAAAAACGTAAGTAAAGCCTAAATTATACTCACAAATTGGGTCACTTTCAAAGACCAAAATAAAGTTCACACATAACATCAAAGCCTATTAAACCAAACAGACTTATTTAGGATGGTCTGCCCAATTCACATTCAACTTAGATGGTTCAGCACCAAGTTTATTTCTCTAGAAAATGCTCAGCTTGTAAGTCTTTAAAAAAAAAAAAGAAATCCTTCTCACTTTTAAGCCATTGAAGCATTGCTTTAAGCAATAAGGACTAAATGTTTGATGAATTGAACTAAATGATACCCTAGTGAAAAAGCCATGCCCCTCCCACCCCCCATCCCTATGCACATTGACCCACACAGAGAAAACCTTTTACTTTTATGCATTTCAAGTACTGGAATAATTGAACATCAGTTTGGCAGTAAAAGCCAGGCAGCTTCAGAGCCAAATTCAACTCTGGCCCAGAGGGATTATATCTGACGTAAATGGTACAGTTTGGCTCAGTTTTAAAAAGAATAGAATTAAGCCCAAAATGTGACCTAAATTTCAATACTTCTGAATTTAAAGGAGTGAGTTACCCATTTGTGTGCATAAACTTTCAAATTTCTACTCTATTTTGGAATCTTTCATCATATTTTTAAACTAATTATCCATTTAAAATGAAAGTCAAGGTCAGGAATAAGGAAAAAATCAAACATCTAGTCAAATAATCAAATAATAATAAAATGATTTTATGATACAGATCACACTTTTCGATTAGACTGCTAGCTACCTTACAAGCAGTGAAATAACATGAAAAATTGTTAGTGTTGGTGGCATTGTGTAAACCTGGGATGTTGTAGCAGTGACATGTAGGAATGCATTTGATTTGGTACCTGAAAGCATTTGAATCATATAATCTACAGGATCCTTTACTTCCACATCTTTTAAATCCCCATTTGAGGCATGAAGTGTCAATCAAAACTCCAAAATAAACTGGAGCTGGGATTCCTGCTGTGAGAAAAACAAATAATTGCTATTAAAAACACGTGGTTATGAATGATTATCTGGAACCACTTACTTTTAGTTTAATAATTACTGATGTGGAGATGAATGGCCATCAATTACAAGCTGATATCTTCAAAACCTCTCTCTCTCTAGTCCACTCTTTCCTCATAGGCTCCAGACTCATGCAATGACTGCCATTTATTTACCAACAGAAACACATCTCCCAGGCACTTCAAGCTCCACATAAGCTCATCTTCATCTCCAGTCCTGCCCCTTTGTCAGGGGCCACCCGGTTGCTAGAGTTACAAGCTTGGGAGACATCTTTGATCTTTCTCTCTCTCCTCTCTGTGGTCATCACTATATTTAATCTATCTCTGTATCACGCCAATTCTACCTGCTAGAATATCCTAAACACATTCTCTTCTCTCCATTCCCACTGCCACTCTACCCACGGTAATTTAAAGAAACAGCCAATTCATGAGTCTTCATCTTCTTTTCTTAACTATCTCTAATCTAGTCATCATGTGGATGTTGGATCAGTCAATTAAATAGGTAATTTCCTAAGATATCTTTTCCAAGACAAGAGAAGTTAAACTGGACACTGACCCTCATCTACATTTCTGACCTCATTTTGGGCAACATTCATTGTCTTATATTTTCAGATTCCAAATTTACTGAATTTCTTTCAGTGATTAACATGTTCTTCCCTCTGCCTGAATGCCTTATTTAAGAATATGTTTTCTTTATCCCAAACAACACCTTCTTCTCCTTTCCCTTCTTAACACACACTCACTTTTTAACACTTAGTGTAAATATTTTCCTTCTGGAAAGGTCATTTTGAGATCTGAACTGCATTAATTCCTTTTGTTCTACATTAACAGCACTTGTATTTCCTTCAAAACCTTTAATACTTCTCTAATGGCATGTTCAATTGCCTTTCCTGCTAGAGTATAAACTACACAAGGGCAGGAAATGTATCTTTCTGATTTGTGCTATAAGCCCAAGTAGGTTTTCAATAAATGTTTGTTGAGAATTCAATCCCTTCTTAGAGGAAAAAGGTATCATCCCTCATATAGATTTTTAAAAAGTAGTCCATTTATAAGTCAAATATATTTTTACATGTTCTAAATTGGTAGTTCATTAAATGTGTTATTTAGCATGTATAAGTTTCATTTGTGTGTGTGTGTTTAAAATAGTAGTCAAAATTTGAAAGCCACAAGATTTCATGTAAATTGCAAATTCCTGAATTCTATGAGGAGTTGCATTGTCTGGCAGTCCATGGCAGTAGTTGGCAAAAGGTGAACAGCAACTGCCTCCACCCCTCACCAAATATGTGTGTGTGTTAAGAAGTATATACACACACATACTTCTGAAGTAAAATTGCTTTGTATGCTTGTATTAAATAAAATACTTTCACTAAATTTTTAAAGTCATTTAAGAATATTTACATTTCTAAATTTCAGAAATTATCCATTTATTCTTTGATAACAACCGGGAAATATTTTTAAACATTTTTTGTTTAAAGGTCTACCTAAACTTTGCAGATACTCATGTAATAATTGATTCAAACCAGAATCACCAGTGGCTACCTAAACTGTGAATGAAAGACTTGGGAAACCGAAAAGTCACATAATGTTAATGTGTCATATTGTAGATTACTTACTCATTGCAGAAGGATTTTTACAATGAAAAAAACTTGTGGACACCACCTTCACCAAAAGAGTAAACTTAAAATTTCCAATGATAGTATCAAGTGAAGTTATAGTCTTCTTGATGTGATTTACTAAGCAGCACACAATATCACCTGTGTAGTATTCTCACGAAAAAAGTTTACTTAGACATACTCAAAAGCAAACAAACACATCCAAATTGTGGGATATTCTACAAAACAACTTGCTTTGTTTCTTGAAAAAATATAACTGTCACAAAAGACCAAAACGAAAAAAGAGAGGAAATATTGGAGACAGAAGAGATAGCTAAATGCAATATACAGTCCTTGATTGACCCTAGATCAAAAATTTTAAAACAGGAAAATACAATAGAAGACACTTTTGCTATGATGGATGAAGTTTGAATGTAGGATGTGTATTAGATAGAGTATCATATCAATATTAAGTTTCTTGAATGTGGCAATGGGATTGAGGTTATACAGGACAATGTACTTGCTCTTGTAGAAGAATACACACTGGGAGTCTTAGGAGTGGAGTGCCAGCATATCCACTACTTATTTTCAAATGATTCAACAAAATATATGAATGTTGAAAGAGAAGAAAGAGATTATTGTCTTTTTGACACATTTGATGAATTCAAGTAAAGGTTGTATAAGTATTAATTGTCATTTATAAAATTTTCTGGCGTTTTAAAAATTTTCAAAATAAAAGGAAGAGAAATGAGAGAGAGAAGTGCAACCTACAGAAGAGATTTAATAGATATATCACCTAAATGCTGTGTGTGAACCTGTTTGGCCCTTGATTTAAACAACCATGTGTAAGGAAATAAAGATAATTAAAAGAAATTTAGCACCAACTGAGAATTTACTCATATTAAGAAGTCATTTTTAAGATATGATAATCATTAGATTATCATAAGTCATTATATTTTAAATAGAGGTACGTACCAAACTATACATAGAAAATAAAATAGACTGAGATTTACTTCAAGATAAGCCAGTAGGGAAAAGTAGACAGAGATAGAGGTGTCTTAAGATGGGTTGTATGTTGATAATTGTTGAAATTGGATAATAGATACATGGAAGTTCATTGCAATATTCTTTTACCTTTCATATGTTTGAATTTTTTATAACAAAAAGTTAAAATATCTAGCTGATTCTATTTTGCATAAAAATCTCACAGACAAGAAGCATAGCAAATATCTCTAGCAATCAAATTGGATTATTTGGTGCCTCAAATAAGTTTTCTATGTATATTGTCCAACCAAACAGATTATTTAACCACTTTTAAAAAATCTTACTTTACATTGCCTTTAATGACATAAAGACAAGTCAAAAGATTCTTTTTTTTTTTTGAGTTGGAGTTTCACTCTGTTACCCAGACTGGAGTGCAGTGGCCGCTCCCGGCCACCGCAGCCTCGACCTGCTGGGCTCCGGCGATCCTTCCGCCTCAGCCTTCCAGGTAGCCAGAATTACAGGCATGCGCTACCATGTCCGGTTGATTTTTTTATTTATTGTAGAGATGAGGTCTCGCTGCCCAGGCGGGTCTCGAACCCGCGGGCTCAGGCAATCCACTCACCTCAGCTTCCCAAAGGCGCGGGATTACAAGCTGAGCCACCGAGCCCGGCCAAAAGATTCTTATGTTTGCAGTTTTGTGTTCATGGTTTAACCTTTTTATAATAAAACATTTTTAAATACTCACAAAAACAAAAGGAATAATGTAATGAACCCTCACAAACCATTACTAGCTTTGATCATTATTAATGTTTTCGGTTTTATCTCTCCTCCCCACTTAAACTATTTTGGTAGTATTTTAAGGGCAATCTCAGACATCATGTCATTTCAATTATATGTATTTCTGTATTTCTGCATTCATCTCTAACTGATGGCATTTTTATAATAACATAACCACTATATCTTTCTCACACCTAACATATGTTATGAAAATTTCTAAATATTTTGTAAATTCTAGCACATGTTCAAACTTTTTTGATTGTTTCCAAGACATTCTTTCACAGTTGGCTTATTCTTATCAGCATCCAAATCAAATAAGCACATTGCATTTAGTTGAGAACTTTTTATATCAATATCCTCTATTCTCTCTCTCTTTTTTTCTTCTCATACTAATGATTTTTGAAAAAAGACATTTGTCCCATAGAATATACCACAGTCTGGATTTGTTTGATTGCTACCTTATAATGTTTAATTCATCCTATCTTTCTTTTTTCCTGTAACCTGGTACCTAGGTCTTGTTAGACTCAGTTTCAATTTATTTTAGGCAAAAATAAGCAAAGGTAATTCTGTGTGCTTCTGATTGTGTACAGGTTAGGAGGTACATGCTGTCTGGTTGTCCCTATTAGTAATGCTAAGATAGATGTAAACTAGGGCTATGCCAGTCTTATCTCTCCTTTATGAAGTTTCTCATCATCTAAAACTTTCATCTAAAGCTTTTTGCAACTGTTGAGGCTACAAAACAGGAATTAAACAATTATATACTTTCCATAAAAATTATTTGGTATTTTTTCATAAAAAGGGATTTTCCTTCACTGACTATTTGGCTAATTTGGAATATAGTTAATAGAAGAAAGACAGAGTCACTTTTTGACTTATTTTCAATATCAATTTTCAGAATAATGAGTTGGTGTCCTGATGTTCTCCAAATTTTCAAAGTATCATTATGAACCCATGTGCTTTATATATTTGATGTATTTCAACAAACTGCAGTCATTATTATTATTACTGCTACTTCTATTATTTTGAGTCTCAAACTATCTCACCTTGAGACCAGTCTCCTCAAATTGGTTCTGTGCCCTTTGATACCTCCTTATTAGCTTTTGATAGCTTACTCACTTCTAGTACAAAAAGATCTTCCATAATCATCTTATGCATTTTCTACCCTAGACCTTGAATCAGTCATTTCTCCAAGGTGCCATGGTTCTTTTACTGGATGATGATATTTAGATATCACAGACTGAGTGCTGTGGTGCTCATTTCTTCCAGGTTTCATCGTTTCTAGGTTTTTCAGGAGACAGAGCTATAAAATACACATTATTTTAAAATAAAAATATGTGATTCATATTGATACTTTAAATTCAAATTTAAGAAAGGGTTTTACTTAAATTCTTTTATTTTATATCTGTATCATTTTTCTATTTTGCTAAAAATATTGATTCCAAATAATGCTAACAAAATAATTCATTTGTTTTATCTTAAAATGTCTAAAAGTTTCAACACAATAATACCAGTACTCGTATAATAATAAAACCATAAATGCAGCTACTTTATAGGGATTTGGTAAAAATTTGTCTTTTTACCATTTTCTCAAAATTTTGTTTTTCAAGTCACTTAAAGTTTTTTGTTTGTTTGCCTTTTCCTGTATGTTCATGCTACCAATGTAACACACCATTAGTTTCAGTTTGATTTTAGATTTGGTTCTTCTAAATTTTATTTTCAATTAGAGGAAACTATGCAATTTCAAATAAACAATTATATAAACATGTTACCTTTGGTTACTTTGAAATACAGTTAACAGAAGAAAGGCAGGATTAATGGTTGATTTTTTTCCCCCTTTACACCTAAAAAGTTTTACTTCTTTCCTGTCCTTCCTTCCTTCTTTCCTTTCTCCCTTCCCTTTCTTCTATAGGTAACCATTTTTTATAATTCGTTTTCAGTTGATGCTTTTATTATTTCTTTTTTAATAGGAGCAAATACCTTTGCATATGTATATAATATTTCCACCTTTCCACGTTTACACCAAAGCATCATATTATAAGCATTGTTCTCCATTTTGCTTAATACGGTATCCTAGAGATCCCTTGATAATATTAAACAGAGATTTTTCCCCATTCATCCTTACAGCTGCAATACCTAAATGTATTATGTAGTTTATTCAATCATTCTCAAACTAATGGACATCTAGACTGCTTGCAGGTTTTTGCTATTACAAAAAATTATTACACTTATCCATAATGATTAGATTTGTTTCATATTTTTGCTAGGCAATATTTGGTACAATTCCAAGAAGTGAGAATATCAGGTTAAAAGGCAAATCTATACACAATTTTGTTAGTTATTGCCAAATGACTCTCGCAAGAAAGAATATTATTCTCCCAACAGCAGTGTGTAAGATGACTCTCGCAAGAAAGAATATTAGTCTCCCAAAAGCAATGTGTAAGCATATCTATTTTTCCATAAATTACAAACTTTGTAATTTGCCAATTTGATAAGTAAGAAATGGCATCTGGGTAGTTTTAATTTGTCTTTTTATGGGAGAGTTTGTGTATTTTTATATATTCAAATGCATTTACATTTATTTTTCCATAAAATGATTATTCATATATTTTACCCATTTTTTTTCTATCTGATTGTTGGTTGTTTGTCTTTTTCTTCTTCAAAATGTAGGATTATCTTTACAATATGTATATTAGCTACTTGTCTGTCACATACATTACAAATCTTTTCCCCAGTTCATCATATGCCTTTTGACTTTGCTTATATTTTTGCCAATTTCAAATATCTTTTTTATCAAATCAATTTTATAAAAATCATTTACTTTATTTTGAATCATTTTTACTTTCATCTATATATTCCCAAAGATAGATGGACATAGAGGACTATTCTAGCCAGGGCTATACTTCAATCTCAATAATCTGACACTTTTCTAGGTAATCTCTATTTTCATATATAATTAGAGCCAGACAGGAAGCCATACACCTCTATTAGTGTTTCTTGTTCAATTTTATCAGGATTACAGTGTATCTTAATATGTAGCCATGCTACATCAAGATCTATATAAACCAGATTTCAAATTTTTGAAGCTCTAAGATTTTTCTCCCAAGGTAGATCTTTTCCATCAAATTACAGAGAAACATTTACAATTATTTCATTTTCTTCTTTAGAATATAAACTCCTTTGGAACAAAAACTTTATCTGTTTCCTTTACTAATTTCTGTAGATTTTAACCAATGCATATTTTAAAAGGTGGTAGTCAGAAAAAATTTTCAATTATATTTTAAAGAACCACCTACTCAAATCTATTTGCTTTGATTGTTTGGATGATCTTATCTTTCTACCTCCTCCTATGGAAGAGCATTGAGAGTATCTCAAAATAATTCTTTTCATTTTAATAACTGAAAAGTTTATATTTAGGCTTTAGCCTTTCTTACTGATTATTTTTTTATTTCTTTTCTGAGAGCGCTTTCATAAGAGCAATGGATTTTATGAGAACATGCCAGTGCTAATATAAACAAAACTGTCGACAAAAAGTATGATTGCTCTCATAGAATCTCTTTATTATGTCTGGGGCAGGGTACAGCATAGGAAATAAATATTTCTGGAAGAAAGGAAAGGAGGAGTCAAGAAAATGAGAGAGGGAATGAAGAAATGAAAAAAAGAAGAAAATCAAAAGACTAAAGACTTAACCACCTACATCACATAGTTATGTATGGCAGTTCTGTAAAAATATATAGAAAGGTCTTCAAAATACACTTAAGATGGCTACCATAAATGAAAGCATAGATTATACTTACCAAGAACTCTTATTGCTAAGGTATAGATACCCAAGGCAAAAGACTTAAGTTGTGGCTTAATACACCTAAAATCAAGAAAAACAGTATTATAAAAACATAATATATTAAAGCAAATAGAAATTTGATAATCCGCTTAACACACATTAAAATGTGTTAATTCATGTATCATTTGTGGTGAACCCACTAGTGTTCTAACACAGGGAAGGCAAAATATGTGAAAGCTATGTTCTATTACTTGCAATGTTTCAAGGAGTTTGTAGTTAATATTTCTAGAAATCACCCACACATTACATATTCTAATGGTGCTAAGTAAAGTCATATAATAAGTTTAATCAAAAAATAGCAAAGCCTCAGACAAAAATTCAAGTTTCTAAGAAATTGTAAGAATTTGAGGTAGCAATAAAGGATTAATAACTATAACTAGTTTATATGAGTTTGGTCTAAAAGCACAGGACCAAATTTATCAGAGTTGATATAATTACAGTGACATGCTAAATGTTATCACTACATAGTAGGCACCTGAATTTATCAGAAAAGTGCAAGAACACCTAAAAAAACAAAAACATCATTAATGTAACTAGGTAGCTTTAAGTTATTGACTTGTGGATTGTAATAGTAATGATCATGATACTATATAATAATTATTGAGTGCAAACCATGAGACTAAATACTTCCAACATCTTTTATATAATTTAGTCTCTGCTTTAAAAGAGGCAAAAATCACAATTTTTCTCTTTTAACCCATTGAAGTTCTTCTGACATCCACCATGGTTAATATGAGGGACTGGTGGTTAAAAAAATGCTTTCTACAGTAAGTAACCTGATTGTTCACTTGGCTCATGTGACTTGATACAGTATAAATAGGTGTTGCAGTAGCCATACTGTGTGGAAACTCTAGGACAATACTTTCTTATTTTCTCAAACTCATGCTCCCATTTGTTGGCATAGATATCTCATATTCTTCTTTAGCTGTTTTGAGACTAGGAGACTTGTAAATTATTTCTATTATCTGTTTATCATTCCTAATCAATTTCTATAATAAAAACTGTATGAAATGAAAACATATACAATACTTTTGATTTGTCTCATTCTAGAAGAAATTAGTATTCAGCCTTTAATATATGAATTGATTTAAAAATCATCCAATCTATCTCATAAAAGATTGATTTACATTAAAATATGACTTTTAATGTTTAATAGTGTAATCAAAATTCATATTATTTTTAGGTTATTTTAACCAATTGTACAATAAAAATATTTGCAAAGCTAATTCAATTAGGAAGAAAATATTATCATTGAGAAACTCAGTTACAAAAATGTTTTCACTTTTAAATTCACATAAAATTGTATAGAAATGTATGATAGGATAATCCAAAAAATGTTCAAGCACAAATTATATTAACAATGGAATAAAAACTTACAGTGAAGTTGAATGAAGATCTTAGTATGAGAAAGTACATATAGTACATATAACTATAACTGTTAGAGGTCATTTCAAACTATTTTAATTAGGTATTACCTATCTAATCATTATTTTTAGATCTAATTAATTACATTTGGAAGAGTGACTTACATTTAAAATTGTTATATTTTTAAATGGAAATATTTACAACGAAGTGAAAATCAATACTTAGTTACTATTTAAATTTATGATAAAATATTTGTACGTGTCAATTTACAAATATACAAGGAGGTTTATAGTATTAACATTTTTTATGATTTTATAAGCAAAAATATTTGAAGTCATTGACATATTCATGAACCAGGATCTTCAATTGATCCAAAAGCCATGAAATCCTCCACAGATAATTCCAGTCATGGGAAAAATATACAGAAAAAGGAAAAGCCTATATATCATAATTAATACATGCAAAATATTGTGGTATAATTCAAGGCTTTAAAATGTCATAAATTGTATCTCCCATCATTTAGTGAAACTACGTGTAATCTAAAACATATCTACTGTAGTTAATGTCACCAGTACTAGAAGTAGCAAACTGTATTTACTGAGTGACTATAATGATGCAGGTACTAATGTTGCTTTTTAGATCAATGGCTTGCAAATATTTTTCACTAAGAAAACTTCTATTTGCCACAATTTTAATAAATACCTAACATGAGATACATTTTTAAAAAAAATAGAACAAGAGTGTGGGACAAAGTACCAAAAAAGCTATGTGGAATCATGATTTCACAGAAAAAAAAATTTTTGAAATCACTACTCTAGATGATTATATTATGTTTTATATTAGAATTGGGGTGGAAGAATCAGTATTTACCTCAAAAGTAATATGTATCCAGGTATGCCACCTAGCGATAAAGTATAGGATGTGATGACTGAAATCACCAGGAAATACAGAAACATTTTGGGACATCCATTATCTTTTTGACATCTTCCTACTATGCCTGAGGAATTTCCTGATGTAGAGGATGCAATTCCCACACAGGTGCAGTTATAAAATATCTGTAACACAACAGAGAAAAGCTCATTACTGAGGTAACATTTAAATACAACTAAAGATAACATTTATTTAAAACTTTTTACAGTTCAGTCGGCATGCATTATATAAACAATGAGGAAATATTCTTTCAGTTTTATATATTAGAATATATTGAACAAAGCAAAATCTATAGAGATACAACATTTCATTATCTAAACAGCAGATGGTTGGTCTAAAAACTATTAATCCTACAGAACAAGATCCCAGCAAATCTTACCAAATACAGTCATACCTTACTTCCTTCACTACCATTTCCAAGTTTAAGTCACTATGGTTTTTTGCCTCAATTATTGCAAGGGTCTCTTCATGCTCAATTTATCTCCACTTACCTAAATATAGTTTGTTTTCGATTCAGTAACCAAAATGAAACTTTAAAAATGGCAGTCAGATTGCCTCACAATCCCTCAACTTTTCAGTGGCTTCTAATCACACTTGAATGAAATCCCAATGCCTTTTGGTAGCTTTCACATTCTTCAGGATGTAACTCCTGTGTCCTACTCTAATGTCACAGCTCTTCTCTCTCTCCCTCTGCATCAGCCACACATGTGGTACTTGTGAGGCCATTATGCCTTTCCATGTTGCCTTGCCAAACCTTCCCCCAAACATGGCAATGCCTCAGGGCCAGGCAGATCTCACTGCCTGTACAGGTCTTCTTATAGATTATCGGCATCCACAGATGGGGTCTCTGTTTAGAGAGTTCATTAAAGAAACCTCCCATGACTATACACTCCCCCACCCAAAATCTCCTTCTCTCTGTCCACTTATCCTAACTTACTTTTGTCACAGTGCTGATTGCTACCTATCAGGATATCATGTATTTATTTATCTTTAAAATATATTTCCCAATAGAAAATAACTGTTATAAAGACAGAAACTGTTTGTTCTGTCATCATTATATATCTAGGGCCTAAAAGAAGTTCTCACTTTAGTCATTCAATAAAAATGTGTTAAGTAAATGGGTATAATTTGAAGATGTAACACAATGGTATAGTGGCTAACTATGGAACAATAATTCTGATACAAAAAACTCAACTAAATTTGACTAAAGAGAGGCAATTTTTATAACCCCTCAATACAGAAGTACAGTATATTTATGTAAATTTAATTTATGAATGTGCATTTATGAGTTACATTTTTGTTACAGAAAATTTGTGAACTTTTAGATAAAGAACAAAATAAAGCTGGCATTTCTTTTTCTAGAAAGAGTAGTAATACTTTTTTTAAAAATTAGGCTAAAAGTTTTTGAATCTTAAATCTTGCTACTCACTAGACATATGAGTTAGGCAACTGCCTTGTATAACACTGCCTCAGTTCTCACATGAAGAAAATACCTGAAATAATGCCTAATTATTTGAGGACTATGAGATTTAGATGTAATTTGATTTTTATTTGTATTTATTTATTTATTTATTGAGTGGCTAATTTTTTGATTTATTGTAAAGATGAGGTCTCGCCAAGTTGCCCAGGCTGTTCTTGAACCTGTGGGCTCAGGCAATCCCCTCACCTCAGTCTCCCAAAGTGCTGGGATTACAGGCATGAGTCACCACACACCGCCGTAATTTGGTTTTAAAACGCCTATCTTTAGCCCCTGGTGTGTAATGTCTTCAATAAATGATGACTGTAGTTTAAAACAAAACAAAATTTTATGTATTTGTAGTAACAAATAATAATAGCTGAAATTTAAAAAAAAAATGAAGGAAGAAAGAAAAGAAAGGGAAGGAAAAATAGGAAGAAAGGAGAAGGATGGTGAAAACTCAGATCTCAAATGAGTGGGTAGTCTTATTCACTGTTGCTAGAGACCAATCCTTTTTACTATGAATAAAATGTCAAAATTAACAAAAAACCAACAAATTAAAATTGTTCTATGTCTGCATTTGTGCTTGCTTAAGCATTAATAGCTAGTTGATAAGCATATGTAAATATATGTGTGGTGTAATTTTCGGCCTTCTACGACTGTCAAAGGCGGAGTTCATCAATCGCAAATAAAAAGCAGTCTGATGGAACAAGTATAAAGAAGAGACTATGCTTTAGAGAGTATTGTAAAAGTGTTCTTAGGAGGAGGAATCTGTCAATGACTGAATGACATTATATCCTTCACAATTAATTTATGTATAGACAAATGATTGTTGCAAATTCATGTTAAAATCCTAACCCCCAATGTGGTAGTAATCAGAGGTAGAACATTCGGGAAGTAATTCTGTTATGAGTGCAGCCCTCATGAATAAGATTAGTGCCCCTATAAGAAGAAAAACGATAGCTGCACAACCCTGCCCTCTGCCATGTGAGGGTAGAAGGAGAAGATGGCCATCTGCAAACCAAGAAGTGGGTTCTTATCAGGCATGAGATCTACTGGCACCTAGATCTTAGACTTCTTCACCACCAGAACTGTGACAAATAAATGTGTGTTGATTAACCACCCAGTCTATGGTATATTTGCTATGGCATCTTAAACTGACTAAGATAGTTTTCTACCTGCATTTCCAACCTCATCTTCCTATTCCACCCTTCAGAAATCCTCCATACCAGACCCTCTGGTCTTTTTATTATCATACAAATTGGCTTAATTTCCCAAGCAGTTGTCTCAAATCCATCAACCTTCTCATAATGAGATCCCTGATCCCTGGGTCTAGATCTCTGGAGCTAGCCCTCCTAATGCTGGCCTCTATTTGTCCTGTTCCTAAAATCTCCAAGGACTACTTGTCTTGGTCGGGGTCAGGAGACATGGATCGTGACCATCTTACTATACAATTGTATGCCTGGGCCTTTTTCATTCAGGGCTAATATTCTTTATAAGCAAAACGAGAGAAATAAACTACATAGTTGCAAAAGCTCATCCATCCTGTCTCATGACTCCTTTTTGTTTGTTTGTTTGTTTGTTTGTTTGTTTGTTTTTGAGTCAGAGTCTCACTGTGTCGCCTAGGCTGAAATGCAGTGGTATGCTCACAATCACTGCAGTCTCAACCTGCTGGACTGAGGGGATCCTTCTGTCTCAGCCATCCAAGTAGCTGGAACCAAAGACATGCACCACCACATCCAGCTAATTTTTTGGTTTATAGTAGAGACGAGGTCTCGCCATGTTGCTCAGGCTGGTCTTGAACTCTTGAGCTCAGGCAATCCTCTCGCCTCCACCTCCCAAAGTGCTGGGATTATAGGCATGAGCTACTGAGTCCGGCATGACTCCAATTCTTACCCTAATTCTTTCAACAACTCTAGTTCCACTACAAATTATTATATATTTTCTGTTTCCACACCAAAAGACAATGTCAAGAACCGGGGTTCCTACCAGTGGTCTGCTATGAGCCCCCCTTGTGTCCTTTTATATTGTAACAGGTTCATGATCATATACTTTAGAGGAGATTTCTTACAATATTTTTTCCACTCCTGTTGGAGGTTTGACAACCAGCAAGACAAGCTGATGCATATGTGATTCCATTTTCACCACACATGGGTTCCCATTTTGTCTCTGAACATTTACATCTTGAGTTGCAATCTGAAAAGAGAGCTCGTTCATGATAAGAGACAGGTTTGGTTCTGAAAAGAAATATAACAGCATGAAATGTTACCTGTTAGCAGGTAGTACCCTAATATTTTCAAAAATCAATGCTCTTGAGTGATATAAATGTTATTGCCAATAAAGTTTGCCTTTTGGAAGCACAGTTGTCATCAGATATGCTAGCTTCTGGTCATAAAACATGAGTTCATTATTAAACAGTTTTCTCTTAAGAATTATCTTTGAGGGTTTACAGATTCACACAATGTCCATTGCTTGGCTTATGGTTTTTACTTAAGTCTACTGTCCCTAGGATCTTCTAATATATTTCTATGCAAAGGAACATAAACATGACTGACAAGGTCGAAAAGTAAAGTAAACTTTCAGAGCAATTTATGACATTAAAAGTGTGCGTATGTGTGTAAATTTCTTTCAGAATTTGCTTAAGCATCAGTAGAATAAACATTGATAATGGTCTGGTAAAAGAAAAAACAGCTACGTTAACATTTAATACACATTCTTTGTTTTTAGGAGCTATATACCCAACTTGTTTGTCTTACAAATAAATGCATTCCCAGTTTATCTAACTTTTCTCTCATATATCCTCCTAGTTTATATAACTCTTCTGTATCTTATATCATCCTTTCTTACTCAATTTCACAAGCTATATCTATGACTAACCCAATCATTTATTCATAAAATTTTCCTGGATGCCTACTAAGTGCTAGCTTTAGGAGAATAGAAGATAGTTACAGATATGTATAAGACAATATTTGCCTTCAAGAAATTGGCTTTTTTTCACAGTTGGTTTATCTACTTTTGATTCTTTTCTCTCTTTTCTCTCCCTTTCTTTTGATCTCTGCTATTCTCTCATATTCTCCCTTCATCTCTCCCAGAAATTTGCTCTCCCCACTTTCTTCTCTCATCTGAGTTGCCTAATCCTTCTGCTCTTAACCTTTCATACTATTCACATCAGTCTATTCTTCCCGAAGGGAACTTACGTGCCAGAAGCCACAACCCCTAAAGATGCAAAATGGAGGTTACCCGAAAATGGGAAAAACGCTGACTGGGAGCAGAGCCCCAGTGGGAAGCGGCCATGCTGGAGGCAGAGCCCCATGGATCCTATTGAAGGACTCCTTTTGGCCTTAAAGGAATGCATGCTTAGGCTTGAAAAACACTTCCCTTGATAAATAAAACAATTAGCTAGAATGTGCAAGGATGTGGAATTAGCAGTAAACCTATCTATGGAAATGTAAAAAGGCTCAACAGCAAAAATCTCCCCCCTGAAGGGACAAGGGAATGCAAATTTTGAAACCCTTAGCTAAAAGGAAAAACAAGTACTTCCTCATATCCTTTATAAGTAACAACATTGACAGTTGTGATTGATGAGGAAGTGGGAAATTGAGACAGAGTATCTCCACAAACAGGCGTTTTTGGGAATAACAAGTCACAGACATGCCTTTTGATTTAAGAAACATTATAGTTTAATTAGAAAGAGGGTTAAAATTAAAGTAAGGATTAGATAAATAGCAGTTATAATTAAAAGATAAATGTTTATTATAGATGTAGGTATTAGTTAAATAGAAGGAATAGGAAATAATTAAGTTTTAAGGTAAACTTAAAATTATATACACTTAATGTAGGTTTAAAATTAAATACATTTAGGATTAGAAGTAAGATTAATTTCATATATAAGTGTAGATTTAGACATGTTTTGTTTAGAAATATAAAATGTAAAATGGGTAGAATTAAGAAAATAGATTAGTAAAGGAAAAGAAATAGAATAGTGAAGGGAAGAGATTCAGTTGGCCTAGAGGTCACAGGATGTGGCTGATAAATTGGCAGCTGGTATTTTGTTACACCACCTGGTAGCTGGAAGGAACAAAATGAAGCTTATAAAGGTCAACTTCCCCATAAACAAAAGAAAAAACATGATGTAAACATTTTAATGTGTAACATTTTGTGGGTAGGGGGG